ATGAACATATCCATACATATCTCTATTCGCTATTTTCCCAAAGTCTATCTATTAGTAGTTTACAATAGCTATTCTCTGTTAGATTTAACAAAGGATTTACCAAAGAATTTAACAAGAGGTAGTCGCTGCTACTATACAATACAATGTCAATCGGGATATTGTTATCCTAATGCTGGTGGTCCTGGCATTAATTTGTGCACTTAATGCTCAGTCTACAACGGTCAATTTGACAAAGAACAACAGCCCGCATCATCAGACACTTTTCTTTTGAGTTTCTTTGCTTTCATTTATTCTCTCATCAATGTCTTTGTTTATTTTTTCATTTCGATTATCAATAAAAGTTTTTCCATATTACCAACATCCTGTTGCGACTGTCTAGAGTGGGTGTGCGGATGTGGAATTTGGGTTGAGTATGGGTGTGGATGTGGGTGAGGTGTGGGTGTCGTTGTGGTGTGGGTGTGGGTGAGGTGTGGGTGTCGTTGTGGTGTGGGTGTGGGTGAGGTGTGGGTGTCGTTGTGGTGTGGGTGTGGGTGGGGGTGGGGTGTGGGTGTGAGCGTCGGTGTGAGTATCAATCTTCTCTTTATTTACAGCCGCACCCATACCCCGTCCATCTCGTATCCCTTTTCTGTTCTGTTATTGCGAAACACATTGTTTACAGAAAAACATGCTGTCTCTTTGAAAGAATAAATGTACTGTGGAAGAAAATGATTACTATTGCTCTAGGTTACTCATGAACCTAAATGATTTTCGCAAACAATAGAGTTTTCAGATTTATCGTCAAGCTGATTCATCGCAGTTACATTTCATGATGTTTTGGAAAGCATCGAAACGAATACTGAACTTTTCGAAAGTCTCTTATGTTCCTATCCGCCATGACTTTGTGCTGTGAAAATAGCCACCGATCGTCATACTGATTATTGATTGTAGTGTTGAAAGTCTAACAAAACTAGAAGTAATTCAGATTGATTCATCATTTTTATATCAGACGTAGCTCGACTTCTATCTTCTGAAGTATTGTTTTGCCACTGATGAGCTCTATCGAGTTGTAAACATTTTCTTGATTCTACAAGAAATAGTTTTTATTTGAATTAACAATTATGCCCATGAAGCCTATTTTGACAGGCTTTTCAATGGTAAAAAAAATCATTTCTATATCATTTGTCGTCTGAGCTGTACTTCCCTAAGAAAGCATTTTTTCGAACTCTATATGTGTACACTCTTCATTATTTTGCATGTGTTATCAAAGATTACCATGCGAGTGACAGTCTTATTCCGATTCTTCTTTCTTTCTCTCCGGTATTTTGTCAACTCTTTCGCTGCAATCAAGGCAACGTTGTACAAAGAGTGCTGCTTTATGTTAGTCGATAAGATAAGGACAAATTGTTTGCTTTTGTAATGTAAAATAAAAATAAAAACTTAAGTGTACAAGTGATCATACTTGAAAATAAGCAGACGTCTAATTAAAACGGTAAGTTTCCAGACTGTTGTCGAAATCTCGTGAGAATACCTGTCGATCCTCACTGGACTCCCACAAATCAAGTGGCATTTGTTACTGTTCGATAGTTTTCAATGAGATAAGGACAATACAGTACGGGCCATGACTCACCTTGTATCGTATTTTCGAAAAGAGTTATAAATAATAAATAAAGTGAATGTATATTCAATGTTGCAATTAACAGCATAATCTAATTCTTATCCGAAAATAAAATCACTAGCTGATTTTTGGCGAATGAGAGTAGAGGTATAAAGAGTTAGGGCTTTTTTTTCTTTAGTTTATACTGTAACTAATTTACATTGATTTTGATTTGATTCCATCTATTTTACAGCTATCAAAATGACAGCTTTTACTATTGTACCTATACCAATTGATAGAATTTCGATTATAGAATATGGTAACGAAGATTTCATTGAAATACATTTGGACGAACGACTTTATGTAGGAGAAAATATTCAATTATGTAAAGTATGCGAAAACAATAATGATAGTAGTATGGTAATTGAAAAAAATTACAAAATATTTCATGATGCTGATCAATGTATAGATTTCATTACGTCATATGAATGGCGAAAAGTGTTTCTTACACTTACTGATAAATTTAGTTATCTACTCGAATTAATTCATGATCTACCACAAGTTGTCTTTTTCTACATTTATTCAACATCACTCTCAAGGATATCATATAAAACAGAACAATTTCCAAAACTACGAATGATTGTCCAAGAAAATTCATCCGATGAGAATAATCAATTATTGGAAGATATTAAAACATTTAAACGAGATTTAATGCCAATGAATGTCGTCAAACCTATTAAACGAAAAACCAAACTTTTGATACAGGAAGCATTCGATGCCGATGAATATTCGATCAGTTGGTTACAAGACAATGAATGTACTACAACAATTGATACCTCACCCATATCAAATATTATAAATTCATTAAAGATATTTTTCAGTCTCAATCAATGTATTGAATTTATCAAGTCATGTAATGATACACGCATATTTTTTATTTCAACACATTCGAACAGTGATATGATCGTAGAACAAATCTTCGATTATTCGCAAATCATTGCCATTTATATACTGCATACTCAGCAAGAACTAGTGGAAAGTCCACCACTTTTCAATCCCAAACTACATGGTATCTATTCTAACATTCAGAATTTAGCCGAAGCAGTATCCAAATAATATGAACATTGTCTAAATGCGACACAAATGCCGATGAGTGTCTTTGTTCGAGAGAAAAATGAAAAGACAGTTCGAAATTTAAGTAAAGACAATGTTCGATTTTTATGGTTTCAATTACTGATTGATATTTTAATTAGAATACCATATAATGATCAAGCAAAAGATGAAATGTTACATGAATGTCGAAAACATTATGGAATACCTTGTAAAGATGAGGAAGAAGTCGAAGAAAATATGACAGTGAATAATTATGCTAAGACAGCAGAAGAGGATATGATCAACTTTGAGAAAAATTACAAATCTAATGAAGCTCTAAAATTTTATACAAATGATTCATTTTTATATCGTTTATTTAATCTAGCTTTACGAACGGAGAATATTGATTTATTGTTTATATTTCGATTTTTCTTAGCTGATATGTATAAGCATTTACAAAAATTATACTTAGAACAGTTTCCTGATCAACTTCCGCATACTGTATTTCGTGGACTGTTGATGACGAATCAAGAATTCAACAGTCTAAAGGATAATATTGGTCATTTAATGTCAATTAATACATTCTTTTCCACCACAGAAAATCGTCATGCTGCAGAAATATTCTCTAGCTTTGGTGCAGATCCGAATATGCTATCAGTTCTATTTGAAATGAAGTGAACATCATTAGTTCGACGGTGAAAAGACCATTTGCTTCAATCAGTCATCTTCGTACAATGCCTGATGAATTGGAGGTGCTGTTTTCGGTTGGATCGATGTTTCGTATTGAATCTGTTCAAGATACACAATCAATCGAGGGATATTGGTACGTAAAACTAAAGTTGGTTGAAGATGATAGTGATATTAATGAGCTTCGAGTGGAATTAGAAAAAGAATATTGTGATGAAAGTGATTTATGCAGTCTAGGATCAGTACTAATAGCTATGGGCGGTTATAAAAGAGCTGAACGTTATTTTCGCATGTTACTCGAATACCTCCCCGCAGATCACCCGAATACATATCGTATCAACTCGTGTCTGGGAAAAATTGCTCATAACAAAGAAGATCATCAAACATCGCTTAACTATCATGAAAAAGCATTAGAATATTTGAAAAAACCAGGTATTTACAATACACAGGAAAATATCGGTCAAGTGTATACTGATAGTGCTTCATCGTATCATCGTCTTGGTAAGCTTGATTTAGCTATGAAGTATTTAACCATGGCCAGCGATATTCAAACATCACCAAAATTACTTTCACAAACATACAATCAAATTGCCCTAGTATATCGAGACAAAGGTGATAACCGTTTAGCTTTAGAATATTTTCTTAAAGCATTACATATTGAAAAAGAAATATGAAAAACAAATCAATATCAACCAACACTAGCAACCACGTATAATTATATTGGTGAGATATATCGCCAACTGGATGATTATGAAAATGCTTCGAAATATTTACATAAAGCATTAGATATTCGTCTGAAAGGTACCGTTTCTACACATACAGATCTCGCAACAATTTACAATAATTTAGGAGTCGTTTATCACAAACAAAATGAACAGGAGAAAGCCTTGGAAGCATTCGAAAAGGCGCTTGAGATTGATACTCAAGCTTTAGGTGACAATCATGAATCATTAGCTGTGACGCATAATAATATCAGTGCGATATACCGTGACATGAATGATCTAGCTCGAGCTTTATACCATCTAGAAACAGCATTAAGAACACTATTACGCTCACAAGCTGGTGACAATCATGTCGATATCGCCGCAATACAATATAACATTGGAATGATACAATTAACGTTGGGAAATCATATTAAAGCATTGAAAATAACTCAGAAAGCATTGCAAAATCAATTAAAAATACTTCCAGAAAGTCATGAAAAGTTGGCTCATACATATTTCTTATTATCACACATATGTCAAAAACAACAGAATAAGTCAACTGCTTTGGAGTATATAGAAAAAGCTGTGGAAATCGCTCGAATTTCCATTCTACTGCACAACAAGTGCAAATTTGAGGTTTTTCAGTGCCAGCTAGATTTATTGAAAAATGATCAATTTCATGACGGTGCGACATTTCAAGAAGTACGT